TCTTTCTTCTTTCTCTCTCTCTCTCTCTCTCTCTCTCTCTTTCCTTCCTTCCTCAGCTCAAATTTATTTTATTGATTGATTTATACTAATTTACCATGATTTGTGACTCTTTTGCTGATTTCTGCAAAAAATCCGCTGACTTAAAAGAATGATTTCACCTAACAGCCACGTGATTCACTTAACAGCCTGCAGTGACTCACTTTACAACCCTTGTGAAAAAGGGGACAAAATCAGTCACGTGGTGCTTCGACTTACAACCGCAATGATTTATGACCACAATCAGTTGTGGTCGTAACACAAGGACTACTTGCAAAGCTGAGCCGAAATGTATCATGAAATTGCTTTGCTGAAAGCCTAGGTTACAACTAAGGAGGAACTTCGTGACAGTGAGAAGAATTAACCAGTGGAACTGCTTGCCACCAGAAGTTGTGGGTACTCCCAACACTGGAGGTTTTTGAGATTGGACAGCCATTGGTCTGGAATGATTTAGGGTTTCCTGCCTGACCAGGAGGTTAGACTAGAAGACCTCCAAGGTCCCTCCCAGCTCTGTTATCCCCCTCCTCCTTTTAAAGAAGAGATTTAACAGTCTTTTATCTGAAATTGAATTGAATTCTTCATTGTCATTGTACGTATGTATATACACAGTATACACACATTGAAATTCACATTCACCCGAAATTCACCCAGAGACCAGGTTCAACATGTACACACACACACATGACAATCCCCAAACAACACCTCCCCACCCGCCAAAATTCCCTGCCTCCTAAAAACATACAAGCATCCACACAATACCTGAAAGGGTGTTGGGTCACCTGCTTGAACAGGGGTTGGACTAGAGGATCTCCAAGATCCCTTCAAGCTCTGTCCTTCTGTTAACTTGAGATTAATGACTGTGCGCGCCTTTTCAGCTCAGTCCCTTGTAGTTTAATCATTCGAAATGTCGTTTTCTCAGCCTTTTTTTTGGGGGGGGGGGGTGTGATTATGAATTCTCTGCTCGGTGCCTGTCCTTAGAACGTGGCCGCCAGCACCGGCACCTCCGACTTGGAGCACCTGGAGCGAGTCCTGGAGGCTGTGCCGCAGATCCAGTATATCTGCCTGGACGTGGCCAACGGTTACTCCGAGCACTTCGTCCAGTTCTTGAGGGATCTGCGGAAGAGGTTCCCCGATCACACCATCATGGTATGTTGGACGTCCCACTTTTCCTCTTGAGGAGGCCAACAGATTTTAAGATTTTTTTTAAAAAAATAATATTTTAAAGATTTCCACTTTTCCAGTTCAGCTGTGTGGTCCGTTGCAGCTTTGGCTCCTGAGTGGGCTATTTATTTTATTGATTTTGTGTGTGTATCCTGCCTTTATTGTTTTTGAAAATAAGTCAAGATGTCTCCAATGTGCTTTTTCCTTCTCCTCTTTTTCCCCCAGAACAACAATCCTGTGAGGTGGGCTGGGCTGAGAGAGAGGGATTGGTCCAGTCACTTAGGCTTTCATGCCTAAGGCGGGTTTAGAATTTACCATCTCCTGGTGATTGGCCCAAAGTCACCCAGGTGGCTTTCATGTTAAGGTGGGACCAGAACTCACAGCCTCTTCTGATTGGCCCAAAGTAACCAAGCCTCTTGTGATTGGCTCAAAGTTCACTCAGTTGCCGGGACTCAGATCTCCTGGTGATTGGCTCAAAGTCACCCAGTTGGCTTTCATGTTAAGGTAGGACCAGAACTCACAGCCTCTTGTGATTGGCCCAAAGTTCACCCAGTTGGCAGGATAGAACTCAGATCTCCTGGTGATTGGCCCAAAGTCATCCTGCCAGCTTTCATGTCTAAGGTGGGACTAGAACTCACAGTCTCCTGGTGATTGGCCCAAAGTCACCCAGGTGGCTTTCATGTTAAGGTGGGACCAGAACTCACAGCCTCTTGTGATTGGCCCAAAGTAACCTAGACAGTTTTCATGCCAAAGGTAGAACTAGAACTCACAATCTCTTGTGATTGGCCCAAAGTAACCCAGCCAGCTTTCATATATGGGGTGGGATTAGAACTTTCAGTCACCCAGTTAGCTGTGGGTCTCACCCATTTCCTGCCCCCCTCTTTTTGCCTCCACAGGCCGGGAACGTCGTGACGGGCGAAATGGTGGAGGAGCTCATCCTGTCAGGTGCCGACATCATCAAAGTGGGGATCGGACCAGGTGATGTTGGGGTCCCCCGTAGATTCATCCATCAGCTTAAAGCCGGGCTGAAAATTTCAATCTAGGTTTCCCCCTGGTGAAGAGTTAGATTCTTGCTAGGGATCCAGCTGGCTTAATCCTGGCTTGTTTCAGGCTCCGTTTGTACCACCCGGAAGAAGACCGGGGTGGGCTATCCTCAACTCAGCGCCGTCATGGAGTGTGCGGACGCGGCCCACGGCCTCGGAGGACACATCATCTCGGTGAGAAACCTTGGAGAAGTCCAATCTTGGCCATTGGAAGACCTGTGGACTTCGACTCCCAGATTCTGAGAGTTGAAGTCCACGGGTCTTCCATTGGTCAAGGTTGGAGGTTTGTGGTGGTCCTGGAAGGGGAGAAGTAACCAGAGACTTTAGTAAACTTTTATGCAATAAAAATAAGGCAATAACATAGAATAGAATAGAATTCTTTATTGGCCAAGTGTGGTTGGACACACAAGGAATTTGCCTTAGTGCAAATGCTCTCAGTGTACATAAAAGAAAAGATATATTCATCAAGAGTCGAGAATCATGAGGTACATTTTAATGATAGTCACAGGGTACAATAAGCAATCAAACCACACTATGAAACAGCCAATATAACATGTTTACATTAGAATTCCTCTCGATCCAGGCAAACAGTATAATTCTCAGTTAGCAGCTACAAAAGCTTGAGAAGTCCAGCACAATAATTAACTCTCTGATCCTCCTCTTTGTCTGACTCCTACCGCGTTTCCCTGAAAATAAGATTATATTTTTGCCACCCAAAAAAGGCACCAGGTCTTATTTTCAGGGGACGTCATCCACTGACTAACCACACTTGTGTGGGTCACCCCCTGGCTTCCTTTTCGCTGTCAGAGGCCTTCAGGGGCTGCTTCTTCTGTGGCCGGTAAGGCTTTCTTGGAGGCCTCTGCAGTCGACAACTGCGGATCGACCCAGAGCTTTGTTCTCAGCCTTCAGGAAAGCCTTTGCCATCCTTGCTGGCTGCAGAAGAAACGGGCTGGCAAGGCAGGTGTCGGGGTGTGCGAGGCCTGGCTACAACTGTCCAAAGGTAAGTAGCAGGGCAACTCCACCCCCCCACCCCCCATATCCCCACCCTAGCTTAATTTTTACCTGTCCATTTTGGAGCGGGCAGGATCTTAAACGGCTTATTTTGGGGGGTGGGGCTTATATTGGGCACACGTGTAAAAATCAAACTAGGACTTAATTTTCAGGGTAGGTCGTATTTTCAGGGAAACGAGTATTTACCTTTCTTGAGGGCTAGGATCTTGCCCTGTCCGTTTTGTTTGCTCTCCTTTGCACGAACTGAATACGTGTCTACTTTAGGATGGGGGATTTAAATAAAACAACAGAAAGGCTGAGGTTAACTCTCCGCCCTCTCTTCTACAGGACGGAGGCTGCCATTGCCCAGGGGACGTGGCCAAAGCTTTCGGTAAAATCCCGTTTTCCAAATTCTGCCGGTTAATTTTGCCGCTGGGTGTCCTCGACTTACGACCGCAAGGGGGAAGCCAGGATTTCAACGGTTCAACCAGGCGAAAAAATAAATAAATCCCCAATTGTACAACTTTCTGCCAGGGTTGTTAAGCCAATCGCTGCAAGTGGTTAAGTGAGTCATGTGGTCATTAAGTGAATCTGGCTTATCACTTATAGATTTGTTTGTCCAGAAGCCTGCTGGGGGGAAAGTCGCAAATGTTTGATCCTGTGACCCCCCCCATCCAAGGATGCTACAACTGTTGTAAATTCATGCCAACCCACCCCCCGAAATTTGATCATGTGAGGGTAGGGATGTTTCCGACGGTTGTAAGTACGAGGACCAGGTTGTAAGCCACATTTTTCCAGGTGCGGTTGTAACACGCGTCCCCAAATGGATGATTCAAGGACTGCCTGTTCAGATAGTCCTTGACTTACAACGACAATTGGGTCCAAAGTTTCTGTTGCTAAGTGAAACATTTCTTAAGTGTGGTTTGCTTCATGACCTTTCTTGCCACAGTTGTTAAGTGAATCATATGCACACGCTCTCTCTCTCCCCCCATTAAAATTGCTTCCTTGTGGGTTCCTCCCCCCTCCCCGATCCTTTAAAGTGGATTATGGGGGATATATAGGTGGTCCTTCCTTTATGTCCACAATTGAGCCCCACATTTCAGTTGCTAAGCGAGACACTCAGGTGAGTTTTGCCTCGTTTTACCGCCTTTCTTGCCAAAGTTGTTAAGCAAATCATTGCAGCGGGTTAAGTTCGTTACGTGGCTAAGTGATTCGCGCTTCCCCATTGACTTTGCTTGTTAGAAGGTCACAAAAATGACCCTGGGATGTTGCGACCATCATAAGTATGAGTCAGTTGCCAAGCATCTGAATTTTGATCACATGATCATGGGGTTAATGGTTAAGTGTGAAAAATGGCCACTTTTTTCAGCCCCGTTGAACGTTGGTCACTAAATGAACTGTTGTTAACTCAAGGACCGTCTGTTTTCATTATCATTTAACGACCCCCAGAATCCCTTGTGGGGTGGAGTCTGGGCAGCTGAATGGAGCTAGCAGAGCGTTTTAATAGCCGGATGCCCTTCCTGTCACCAATGTAGAGCTTTTCGTTCAGCAGATATGTCCAGAGAGAGAAATACCTGCTTCTACCTAGTATTGAACTCACAACCTCCTGATTGTGAGGCGAGAGCTCCACTTCTAGGCCATCTATCTATCTATCTATCTATCAATCATCTACCTACCTACCTTTCTATGTATCTATCTATCCATCCATCTCTATCTATTGCTATCTATCATCTATCTATATCATCTATATCTAATCTATCTATATATCTAATCTATCCATCTATATCTCATCTATCCATCCATCCATATCTAACTAATCTGTCTGTCTGTCTATCGATATCTCATCTACCCATCTATATCTAATCTATCTATATATCTATGCAGGTCTTGGTATGTTCAGATGTTAGATATCTATCTATCTATCTATCTATCTATCTATCTACCTACCTACCTACCTACCTATATCATCTATTGCTATCTATCATTTCTATCATCTATCTATATCTATGTATCTAATCTATCCATCTATATCT